AATCCCTAGTATTATCCCCATAGTTTATCCACATGCCCTCGTCACACCCACAAAGCTTTTCTTTGCTCACACCCTGGCACCTTTTACTTCAACTGGGGCTTTTTGCCTTTATAGAGAGGCAGCACCAGAAGAATGAAACAATGTGCATACCTACAAAGGATGGAGGGACCTACCACGGTTCTGAGACACCATTGTGCCTTCCTGATTCTGCATTGCCTTGAATATTCTTGAATTGCAAGATATGCTGACACACTAAACCCGTTCCCAAGTGACTATAGGAAAAGGTCCCTGCTCTGGGTACTCTTTGCGTGCATCCAAATGGCAGAAGCAAATACACCAGCAAATAAAAGTTTCAGGCATATTACCACGGTTTGGCCAGTACCATCCTGTCACATCATCTTGCTTCAGCATGGTACAACTCAGACAGCCCTACCCATGAATCCTACTGGTTGTGAAGGAAAGAAAAGGAGATTAATATTGTGCAACTCTCATTCCTCTTATTTAATTCATATTGCTTTGCTGAATGCCATGAGACAAACTTTTATAATAAATAAAAATACATCCTAGGTAAAACATAGCTGTTGATATATACCATCTCTGATAGTTAAGCTGAGGATGAGAAAAACATTATTTTCAATTATATCACCTGTGTGACAAGTGTGCCTTCCTGTAATCCTATAATCTTACTTCCCATGCATACAATGCCTTTACTTGTGTGGATTCCCAGAGCTTTCTTGGAAGGTAAGTCATTTTATTTCTTTCATGAACAGAGGAGACAAACATGGGGTTTAGTGAAGGATTTATCTTGTCCAGTGTTCTATAGGAATTTTGTGGCACAGCCTATCTAGAACTCAGGTTTCCTGCTTATATTTCTTGATAAAAAATCAACCTTTTCAGTGCCACTTTAATTTAGATTATGAAGATCTTTCAATGTAGAGAACAGCAAAGTATATTTTTCCTTTGTGTGTATTCCCCAGTTCTTTTTCTGTCACATTGCTATTGTATCTCAAAACCATCACATTTGAAAAGAAAGGAAACATAATGTGATTCAAAAAATGTGTTCTGCATATATAATTGTGGTTTCCTGATTTCTTATCCAAAATTTAATAGCATTTAGAATGGAGGTAAGATTAAAACCTTCTTCCTTCCTTTGTTTCTTCCTCTCTGCCTCCCTTCTTTCCTTCTCCCTCCCACAATACAGAAAGCATTAGTACCTGTGAATATTTTAACACAGACAAATACATGGGTAGTACATTCATGAATTCAGATCAACCTCTTCTCCCTCCAGTTGCATTATTTGCAGACCTTTCACAGTTAATTGCTCATTATTTGCAATAGCGACTGGAATTTCCTCTCGAGGGTCACAAAAATGCCTGCTCTTGAATTTGCCATTTCCTCACGGTGAAGACCACCAGAACAAATTCAGACAGGTTAGTGACTTTTATATTAAATGATGCATACAAACAAAACTGAAAAGCAGAACTGAAATCCAAATCTGCAAAGTCAGTTTTAGCATTCAAATGCACTTACTCTGCCAGTAAGGGAATCCGTCCCAGCAAAGCTTTTTGAAAAACTGCCCGGTATTTCTTTTTTATTTTGTCAACATTTAGTTACAGTATAAAATTTTCTTAAGTATATAATGAGAAAAGCAGTTATTTCAAGCATTACATTGAGGAGAAATGTATGCTAACATTAATGCTACCTATTACTACTTTGTGGACAAAAAGTTATTTACCCTTTGAGAAAAAAAAATTTCAGAACCAAGCTAAAGTAACCACAGGCATTAAATAAATAAATCAAATCAAAACTTAATTGGGCTTGGAGATTCAAAACAGGAAAAATACCAAAGTTAATCTAAATAAAGTAAACATAAAACAAAAATCTCATTTACTGAGTAATATTTTGTCATTCTCCATGGAGTCATAAATTCACAGGAATTTAGCATGCAGATGAGAAATAAGGACAAAGGAAGCAGACAGATGAACTGCAGTTGGAAAGCAACCGTAAGTCAATTCAGGATGTCTTCTGCCCAACTGATGAAGATCTAAATGAGAGCTCTTTAAATTGTATGTGTAGAACCAAGCGCTACTGTGATTCACATTCTAACTTCAGATCTCTTACGCCCTGCTGAAATATATAAAGCTTGCTTCGGATGGTGAAGGAAGCTCAATTTGGTTCCCTGGCTTTCTTAGATATTTTGGTTGGAGTGCCAGTTAGACAGCAACGCTCTGTAAAGTGCAACGCTAACAGGCAGACAGTTTGTCTTAGAATCCGTTCCATCATGAACTGATTGCACTGTTTTCTGGTCTGCTGTATTAATAACAAATACTGTACTCAGCAGCATTATAAAATAAACCTGTCGCCTCCCTTTCTATTTCCATAACAACCGTAGAAGCTCAACTCTTCCGGAATCCTAATGAATATCTCTGGAAGAACGGGTTGAAGAGAGGAGCTCCTATTTACTTCAGGGGCTTTGAAAGGAATTGAGAATACCTTGTCACTTCAAGAACTGGGCCACTCATGAGAAAAACTTCATGCATTAATTCTCAATGCAAAGCTGCTTCAGTGGCTTCCAGAAGCATGTGCAAAATTAAACACTGCAAGATGAGGCTTTGGTCCAAGCTACTGCTTTCCTAGAAAGAGGGAGGAAGGAACAGAAACAGAAAAGTGATGCAGGCAGGGAAGACCCTGCAGAATTGGACTCCAATGGCTGTCCCTGGGACAGCGGGGGTGCAGACTCCTATCCCATGCCATCCTACCCCACCTCATTGTATTAGTACCTGCTACCCCACACAACTATACTGTTTTCTTGTTACACGAGCTGTATGCAGACCAGCCTTTCCAGGTCCTAGAGTAAGCAAAATTTGAAGCAGAACACTGTTCTGGCAGCTGGAGAAGTCTGCAGCCTTAGGAAGTGTTGCTGTTCTTGACAAATAGAACAAGCTTGGCCTCACCTATGTAACTAAATCAGTTGGTCCATGATGTACATATGGATTATTTTAGACATCAAGCCTGAGAAACAGACTGTTTAGTCTGCCCTGAAAGCCAAGAGATGCAGAGCTTGACGATTTGGCAAAGGGAGGAATGTCTCTAGAAGACCTATTGCTGGACATGCTCTGTGGTCAAGAGCACAAAGTTTTGCAGGAGGTCGGTATACTTTCCTGGTTAGCCTTATGGGTTATGAGCAAGACATAGATCATGGAGAGCTTTGTACCTGCACTGAAAAGCAACTAGAAGGCAAGGCAGCATATAATACACTCCAGCGTGACATGTTCAGCCTCCTTTGCAAAGCTGTATAAATTGCATTTTTGTACACAATCTCTTTTGGCATGAGGATTTACTCTGCTTACATGTTGACCAGAAGTCCTGCACAGGGAGCTACAGGCAGTGTTGGTTAGTACGTAGAGCATTTCTTCACGTCTAACAAGAAGTAAAATTGTGCAATGATTCTCTTCCACATCCTCTGTTACATTTTGCAGATTTTGGACGCATTTTTAAACACCGTACAAGACGGATGGAGAAGAGCTCTGAATTTCATGGTAATAGTTGTCCTAGATGCTTATTGCTGCAAGACGGTCAAATATTTTTCCTGACCAGAGCAACCACCAATTCTTGCACAATAACCCCTGCTGGGTTCAGCACTGGAGAAGGAGAATAAAAAAATTGCTAACTACATTGCACTTCCTACTTGAAAATGTTGTGCTTGACTCAGACAGAGGTTACTTTTGTTCTAGTTTTGACACTTCCACTTATTCCTGCTGCAAAGCTACTTTAAGATAAAAGCAGCGCAAATGGAGGGTCAGATGGCCTCTCAGTTTTGAACATTACGTCCTCTTCTCAGTAAGAGTGGCAGTGGGCTCTATGCCCATCCTCAGAGTTCCCAGAGGCACCCAAGAGAGAACACTAAAGTGCATCATTGCTACCTTTCACAAACCCACGTTTTCATTTAAAATTCAGCAAAACAGTAAGTTACCGTTAGCTGAGCATGTCGCCTGTACTTCTCATTTTGTTGAGCCTGTACCGGCAACGGCCCAGTGGGAAATAAAGTAAATGAGTTGCGCCATTCAACACAGCCCGACCTGTCCCGCAGCGCGCTTTGGCTGGGCGTCCATCTCGCTGCAGCACAGCTGGAGAGGGCTGGGCTTTTTGTCTGCCCTGCTGAACTCAGGGAGAAAGCCTACAGCCTTTGTTCTACCTCAGGCCATGAGATTTCTAAGCAGGGCTCCGACACCTCAATCTTCCCGCTCACGGTAGCAACGACCGACCGCGCTGCGGGGCTGCTGTTCAGCAGGACAGCGGTGCAGAGTATTGAGGGACACAGCCGGGTTGCCGGGCGTGCAGCGTGCACATCAGCAGCGCCTGCCCCTGCGCCCACACCCCGCGCCCACCCGCCCGCAGGCCTGCCCCGCTCAGCGCCCTCCTTCCCCCGGCAGCGCTGCCCGCACGGTGTCACAGCGAGCGAGACAGACCGGGGTGCGCAGGAGCCGCCCTGCCCCGGAGGGGTCCCCGTGTGGGACCGGGCGGTCGCCGGAGGCGCGGAGAAGGGGCGCCGCCCCGGCTAGCAGCGATGCGAGGCGAAGTGACCCGCCCGAGGCGAGGCGCGTCTCGCCCCCCCTCCGCGTCCCGCCACTCCGCGGCGAAGGAGCCGCCCCCAGCCCCGACCCCCCACTGTCCGGGTGCCGAGGTGGGATCCCGCCGCGCCGTCGCCGCCGCCGCCGCCGCCCACCGTCCACGGCAAGGCGGGTCGGCGGGGCCGGGGGGCGGAGGGGCAGCAGGGGCGCACGGCGGCGAGGTAGCTGGACAGCCCTCCCGGAGGAGCCCGGCCCACCTCTCCCGTGCAGGCACCCCCTCCTCCTCCCCGCCCCGAAAGAGGAACTCCCCGCCCGCGCACAGCCCGGTCGCGGCGGAGGGAGAAGCGGCGGCAGCGGCGGCAGCGCGCCCGGCCCCCTTCGCGCAGCATGGCGCAGCGGCGCCCGCCGCCCGCTGCCGCCTGAGGCGCCCCGCGGCACCGAGCCGAGCCCGCGCCCATGGCGGCGGCGCCGCCCGCCCTCAGCTGGGCGCTGCCCCTGCTGGCGGCGCTGGCGGGCGCCGGCGGCCCCCAGAGCTTCGAGCTGCCGGGGGCCCCCATCGACAACATCGAGGTGAGCAGCGGCGGCGTGCTGGTGGCGGGCGGCAGCTGCCTCTACGAGCTGCGGCCCGAGCTGCGGCTCCGCCACCGCGTGGTGCCGGCGGCGGCAGGGCAGGTCTGCGGGGAGCCCCCCGGCATGCGCAGCAACCTGCTGCTGCCCTACGTGGAGGCCGGCGGGAAGGGTGTCCTGCTGGCTGGCTGGACCCAGAAGGATGGCACCTGTGAGGTGTGGGAGCAGCCGGCCTACCGGCAGCGCTTCAACCGCAGCGAGGTGGTCAGCTGCCTGCCCGACGGCTCCACCGCTGGAGTCGTCTTCCAGCTGGCTGGCGCCTGGTACCTGGCAGTGGCGGCCACCTATTCGACTGGCAGCTATGGGAACTATCTGGGCTGCGAGCCTTCCCAGTCGGACAAGGCAACCGTCATTACGGTTCGCAGCATGAACAACCTGGAGTCCAAGGAGGAGCTGGGCATCATCAAGCGCAAGGACGAGCCTTTGCACTTCGTTGACGCTCTCCAGTGGGGGGACCACCTCTTCTTTCCCTACTATACCTTGAAGGCCAGGGCAGGCAACAGCACGGAGCCACCGAGTATGGCTGTCCTGCGCCAGCTACGCCCCTCAGAGGGTGGCCTTACTTTGCAAGGGCATGTGTATTTGGACTGCGGGTGCAGGACTCTCATTGTTTCCTCCAGCCTCGTCCGCCAGGGCGAGCGGGGCTGGTGGGTTGGTGTTTTCCTCTACAAACAGGACGCCAAGGCCTGGAATGCCACTGCTGTCTGCATCTTTGGGATGGAGGAGATGAAGGAGCAAGCCTGCGCGTCCACGCACTTTGTCATGAATGGGAATAGTTGTGTAAGTCTGGGCACTAAGCGCTTGTCCTGCACGCCGTGGTAATGCTGTTATTGTGGCTGGTGTCACTGCATGAGTCATTGGGTGTCTCTAACCTGAAGGCACATGAAGTTCATTGGGGAACTTCAGAGCTGCAACAGGTTTGTCATATCAGCCCTGGTTCCATCAGCCCTAGTGATTTCTCCAGCACTGTTTCTGAAAATCTGACCCCTTACCGGATCCTGGCATGTCATTCCCACCTACATCTTGGGAAAGACATGTCTGAGGGAGCACCTGAGGGCATCCTGGGCTGGGCCTGAGTCTCAGGCTCGCCATTCCATGTGCCTTTTTCTGGCAATGATTAGTTGTACTTTGCTGTATTTTTCATATAGGCTAGATAAAACATTTCCTACCTTATTCTGTGCATTCACATCTCCTGTCATTGCAGCTACATCAGAAATGAAAAAAAGCCCATCAGATTGACTCCTGTGTGCTGAGCTGTGTGTATTGTTATCCCCATTCTCACTAGTTACTTGCGGTTGCTTGTTTGGTGGTAGGTGTTTCCCAAACCTCCCAGGATTAGCCTTGCTCCAGAGGGCTCGCAGCCACCCCCTTCCCTAAACCCATATGCACAGCAGGCAGCAGTAGGCAATAAGTCTTTGTTGTTGTGGTTACGTTTTCCCAGGCAGTGGTATCACATGGAGATCCCCATGTCACCTACTTCTGTAACACACTCTTCAACTGCTTCCTCCTTTTGAGGGTGAGCTGGGCACATGGAGGGCAGGGTGGGCAAGGCTACCGGCTTTGCTGTGGCCTTGGTAAATAGTAAAGAAATGAACTAAAAAATAAATTCAGGAAGCTAAAAATATGATTCAGGCAAAGAAAGTGCTCTTGCAAGGCCTGCTTGTGCTTTTAAGTCACACTCAGAAGTCTTCTCAGAGCTGTGGCTGAAGGAGCAATTCTGGAAAGTGTCAGGGAGAATGGCAGGGGGTCGAGCAAGCCATCAAAAAGCAAGTTCCCCCACCATTAAGGCACTTTGCAGCTTAACCCCTGAATCCTTGCTGTGTTGCAATGGGAGTTTATTGAAAACTCTGGAAGACATGTGGTAGGTGTACTGTCACTTAGGCTTTCCAAACCTATCCCATAGCAGAGCACAGTTCTGAGATTCTTCCGAATGCAAACTACAGGAGGGCACGTGTGATTCGTTGTGCTCATCTTCCTACTGAGCTGTGAGACTATTGTCAGTGTTAGAGGACATAGTTATAAATGAGAACCCCATATGTGGGTGAAACAACTGTGCTGAAGTAAATAATGAAACTCTTACAACAGAGCTGGAGCCAAACCTTTGATTTCCAATGCCAATTTATAGCTTACTGCATGGTTTACATGCTCTCACAAGGCAGACTTGCTGAATGAATTTGAAGTCTCATCCTTACCCCAAAATGCCTATCTGCTGGCTGGATTTTTAGTTTTCATTTTTTGTTCCTTATTACTCACGGAGTTTCTTCAGGAGGTGCTTTCTGAGCTTGCAAACCAAAAAAATAAAAAACAGAAGACTCTCATGGATTTCATACAGTAAATGCAGGTAAAGCTAAGGTGGCTATTTCTGTGTTTGACCAGTGTTCCTCTCCGCCCCTCATCCCTATTGCCTCTCAATGCCTGAATATGAAAAATCAACAATCCACTTGCTTATGGATTAGTTTGATTCAGACCAGACTCCTGTAACTCCAAAGTTACTTTCATGTCCCAAAAAGCTCGTCCTTCCTGGAAATGTAAATTATATTTGGGTACAGTGCTGATGTAAAGGTGATTAAACTGTAAAGGTGATAAAAAGGATTGTGTGCTTAACATTATGTCCCTAACTATGGTGATGTTATTAATCATGATATTTTGGCACAATAAATACAGTTTACCACTGACAGGGAAGATGGATTTTGTAAGATAGCAGGACATCTGGGTGTTGTGTAGTAATATGGCCTATAACATTATGTGGCTAATTAGGTTCCCTTTTAAGCTAATTATATGTGCTTATGGTGTATAAACATAGAAATAAATGCATGTAGTTCAGCTTTAATGTTTTTCATACTACAGAAGGTTAGGCTAGGCTATTGCAGAGTAAGTTTGGAGATGACAGGCCCATATGCTGCTGCTTCTGGGTTGTTTAGACCAGATTCTTCTACTGTCTCTCACCAAATCATGGGAGTCCGTGCAAATGTGGAACATGTTCTTTTTGGACTCAGAAGCATGTAGCCTTCAGAACTGGCAGGAGGATGGTGTGCAGCACATTTCTGTCAGTGCGCAGCTTGTAGACAAACTGTGTGTAGTAGCCAGCAGTGGCTTTGGCCATAAAGGAGGGCTTTGTAGCACGGAACTGTCATGAGTAAATTGTAGTACAATGTGTAGGAATAGCAGCAAGGAACAGTGCTGAGCATGTGCTTTAAAGTCCAGTCTTTTAACAACAGTGTTGGGACTGAGCAAATGAATGTGTTGCAGTGCTGTGATTGCCTGGGGTGTAAGACCTGTACAGTGTTTGTGGTGGGTGGACCATGCTGAATGTCAGCCTGACTTTTGCATTTCAGATTACATGAAATGTAATGTAGGTTGCTGTGGGTCTTATCCTTCTTTGCTGGGTACACTTGAATTCTTTAGCTCAGGTGATGTGATGAAGTACACAGATCACAGACATGGTCTGTCAGTTTATGTAGGAATTGAAAATACACGTTTTTCACTGCAGGAATACAGTCTGTAGTCAGAATATATGTTAGAGAGTAGTGGCACTTTGTTTTCCTTCTGGCGTTGTCATTCTTCAGACTTATGTAATTATTCTGATTACCTTTAGGCAAGACATCCTCTACCTGTCTGCACTCACACAGCTGCTTGTATTTGCACTGTGTTGGCACTGGGTGTTGGCACTGTGCTTCTCAATAGTACAGAGCAAGAGGGACTTAGCCCAAGGTATCTGTGGTCCTAAATTCCCTGCTACACTACTGCTGTATGTTCTACTCCAACCTCATGCCTGTAAGGTACTGAGCTTTCTGGCCCTAACCCAATAAAGCACTTAAAGGCATATTTAACATTAAGCTATAAGTAGTTCCATCATCTTCATGCTCATGCATTTAAGGTTAAGCATGAATTCGAGTACCTCATTGGATTGGAACCAAATTGCTCCACATCCTGTAGGAACTTATTGTAGGTTCATAATCTCCTTAGCCTCTCATTGCTGCTTAGGCCAGAGTTGACAGTTGCATGAAGTTTTAGTGTTATATTTGCATCTGTTGTTGAAAGTTTGTTATTAAGATTTTTGCTTACCAACTTTATCAAAAAGTATGTGACTGCTACAAATTCTGTGGAGTTGCTCCCTGTGAGAGCTAGCCCTGTGAGAGCTAGCTAGTTCTGTTTCATGCAGTAGCGTGCAGAAAGCATTTTGTCCTAGTTGGATGTGTTTCTTCTGGACATAGACAATACTGGATTCTCAGAGACATGATCCCTAACTAGCACGAAGCAGATGGTGTCTTAGATGAAACTACTTTGAAAACATTTTGTGGATTCGTGTTCAATTTGTTTTCCTCTGTTCCACATATCTCTTAGTTTGAGTGTACCTACATGCCCGCATTGTTGAGGTGTAGGCATTAATGGACTCTCTAGTACAACCTGCATGTATGTAAGCACATCGTCCTCACAGTTTCCCTAGTTAATAAATGTGAATTTGCCAAATCTCATTCTCCATTTCTTTTCGGACAGCTGAGTACTAACAAATGTTTTTGGTGAATCACAATTGTGAAATTGAAGCTCCTTAACCAGTACATAGGGGTAATGCTGTAATTTGCCACAAACTTGCTTCAGTAGCTAGTGAACATTAAGAAAAAATTCCTTCTGTTGTTCAGTGGCTGAACAGGAGCTAGTAGAGTCTCAGATCTCTTCCAGAGATCCCAGGATCTTGTGGATCACAGCCAAGCAGATGAGTAGGAGAAGTGCTCAAATTAGAGGACATCAACAGGAGGGAGCTGTAGTATGTTACCTAACCACAGTGGCAAATCTGGAAATTAGTTTTGCCATTTAAAAAAAGTCGCATGGGAAGAAAAGGATTCTGCAGTTTTTCAGGGAGAAAATAAAAAAAAGTGTCAGGCATATACCTGTTGCTGTAGTTAATATCAAAATGTTTATTTTATGATGTGCAAAGGCTAAGGAGCTGTGATAGTTACTAAATGATAAGATGTCTTGGTTGGATTTTCGTCTGCTATTTAATGCAAGTAAAGATATGAAACAGTCTGTTCTTCCATTTCTTGCATTTTTCAGTGGGTGATAAATATGTGGGTTGGTATATGCCCCTTAATTTATTGAGCTTAGTTTGGAATCCGAGGACAAATCTTAGCTGTTAAAACCTCTGCTGAAGTGAGATTTTGAAGTCAACAGAGCCACATCAGTTTAATCACGGACATTAATTTTCAGGAGTGACATTTGAATTTGTGTGGTAACTCATTCCAAAATGATTCATGGTCTTTTACAGAGTTCTAAATATCATTTGGTATCAAAATTGATTCTGTAATTAATTTTCTAGTAGCAAAGTCATCTCCTGTGTATTACCAGACTGCTAGTATTTCACCTGATGTTTGATAGATCTCTAGAGTTAATGTTTCTGAAGTGAATAGTTCTCTCTGATTACAATGAGTTTTCAGTTCATCCCTGTTCGGTGTGAGGAGTAAACCATAGGAGACTTGTAAATTCTCACACTGCCAGTAAAAAGAGTTGCTTTTAGTCTTCTGACTTCACCAGGTGTTCTTACTGGAAACTTCTGAGAATCTGGGGCTTCTTGAACACAGGTATTTGCTTCCTAGGAATCACCAAGTCTCTTAGGTTGGAAGGAACTTCAGAGGAGGCCTCCATTCCAGCCCCCTACTCAAAGTAAGGTCAGCTCTGTGATCAGGCAGGTTTGCTCTGGGCTTTGTCCTGTTGGATCTTGAAACTTCCACAGGTGGAGACTGCACAACCTCTCATCTTAATTGTCCTCCTAGTGATGTATTTTA